TGAAAATAAAAGACAATTTGAAGTTCAAAAATTAGACTATCCATGTCGAAATCTCGTCATATGAATTTGAAATCGCAATGAACGCAGTCGAAATAGCATCGTTCGAACTTGAAGTTACTTTGAACAAGTTGAAACTATAAAGGGAAAACTCGAAATCGCGGATGTTGAAGTTGAAATCACCATTCCAACTAAAAGGCAAATTATATGATTTGAACTTCAATTCATCTTCTCCACTCTAATAAGCCACTTAATCGTCAACTATGCAACCATAATCTTCCACAAAATTCCAAATGAAACCTTTAATTTGAACTTAAAAGTCACGTCACATATTCGAATTCGAAAAACCAAAATTTCAATTCGAAAGGAAGCGGAAGTAAAAATACACAGGAACCGGAAATGATAAGAGTTTCGCTACACTTTACATACGTTTTGTTTGCATAACTGCATTTTGGCGCGAAAAGATTTCCCTTCACTCGAACTCTCTGGACAATATGGCGGACAATGTGAATGATAAGGGTGACTCTAGGACAATCCAACAGATTGTAAGGGCTGTAGTGGCAAATTTAAACTCTATAAAAGAAGAAGCGTTAAGGCTTCTGAGAACAAATTACTCTCAATTTATTTTTGAGGAAAACATGAGTAATTTCAAAACACGCCTGCAGAATAGAGATTACCCAGCTAGAATTGTAGAAAAACACCTGTCAGAGATCAAATTCTCTGATAGAGAAATGTCGCTAGCGCAGAAAAACAAAACCGCACCTAAGAAAATACTGCCCTTTGTAACACAATACCATCCGGCGTTGCCTAACCTAAAGGACACACTCATGGAGAAATGGCACCTTATAGAAAATCAACCGCAACTGAGAGAAATCTTTAAGGAGCCCCCATCATCTCATATCGTAAGGGAAAATCCTTAAAAGACATCCTAGTTAAAGCTAAGCTATGAAGGCTTTATTAGAATTTATTCATCCTCGAACTGCAGGAGTCGTGTAGGCTTGTCAACACTGTTAGCAGAGTTGACAAAGTTCTCTGGTGAGCATCAAGTCGACGAAATAAAAATTCAGAATTATCATATGATGCTTAGTTTAGATTAGTTTCTGATGCCTCTAACAGTCTAACAAGTCCAACGAAAAACTCTTCGTTGTTCGGTAGCCATCGAGCAGCCATGACGATGATCACATCAGAGATGAGGAAAGCTCAGGTTCCATGCCTCCCATCTGTAGACTCGTACCTAGTCGTTACTCGGTGCTGTGTATTTTTACTTCCGCTTCCTTTCGAATTGAAATTTTGGTTTTTCGAATTCGAATATGTGACGTGACTTTTAAGTTCAAATTAAAGGTTTCATTTGGAATTTTGTGTAAGATTATGGTTGTATACTTGACGATTAAGTGGCTTAATAGAGTGGAGAAGGTGAATTGAAGTTCAAATCATATAATTTGCCTTTTAGTTGGAATGGTGATTTGAACTTCAACATCCGCGATTTCGAGTTTTCCCTTTATAGTTTCAACTTGTTCAAAGTAATTTCAAGTTCGAATGATGCTATTTCGACTGCGTTCATTGCGATTTCAAATTCATATGACGAGATTTCGACATGGATAGTCTAATTTTTGAACTTCAAATTGTCTTTTATTTTCAATTATTTTTGTCCGCAAATGTACGCCATACAGAATAGGCATAATAGGGGCATGGGTGGTAAATAGGAGACTTAATTTGATCTGGCTGGTCATCACGTTCGACCATGGGGTAGCTAGGATTTTGTTAGACATAGGATAGTTCATATACACGTAAGCTAGGTTCACGACTACAAGATATTTGAAACCATTGTCAAAATTTAAGACTTTGAGACGGTCATGATTCCAAGAGAGCCCAAGAAACTGAGAATCATCATTACTGGATAAACCATTCGACAGGTATAATACGGTGCGGTGAAACTTGTCAGCAAACAACAAATTATATGAAAGTAATAAAATTTGGGCTCGGTTAGCTTTTGATGGTGATTTAATCTGTCTTTTGCAGGCTGAAAATTTTTGTCAGATCACCACCTCAAGCACTTCACAAGTAGAACCAGGTCAAAGTGACGGTTTTTCTGCCAGGTCAGTACTTAAAGTTACCCTTCTGGGAAGTGAGTGGAATTCCTCAGAAGGTGGTTTGTCAACATTAAACAGAGAACTTGCAATTTACCTTTCAAAACATCCCAAAGTGGAAGTGACATTGTTAGTTCC